CAGAATCACTTCGTCACGTCCACAGTTTCTCTTTCGTTGTCGCTCTTGATGTCACTTTGGTCGTAAAAATCCATAAATTAGCTGCATCATTGTTTAAGCTGCAGTGTTCAAAGCGTGTGAAAGAAGCAGCAGCTTATAGTCCAGAATTTACGGTATTTGTTTTCAGACGTGTTTTTATGAAACAGAGCTGATTTTGTGAACAACCTTCTGCTTCTTTCTGCTTCTGAGACGTCTCTTCAGTGCGTTAAATCCCCGGCAGCATTCAGACTCACATGAATACGTTCTATTTCATGCTTCTGTTGCATTCAGGAGCTTTTAAATAACGTTGAGGCTGTGCTTCTGACCAGTCAGGCCTAATCCTGTGTGAACGATTCCTAAAATCCCTGCAAATGTTGTCGTGTTTTGTGGCATTTGTGTCACTGCTTTGTGCTTCGCTGCACCTGTGAATGTTGCCGTCCTGAACCGGCGTCTTATGATGATGACCAGAGGTTCTGATCACGGCTCCTCGCCACCGTTTGGACTTTTGGAAGACGAGTATCGAGCGTTGAAACTTTGGCAGCCGTCCACGCTCTGGTTGGTGATCGGCCAGAAACTGTCAGTTCAGTGAATGTGCTGCTTGCTGGCGGCAAACAGAGAAGCTGGAACGTCCTTTCTATCGTAGAACACAGTGAAGTAGGTTTTAAAGGTACACACACGCTGCCCAGGATGTGTGTTGGTAGGGATTATTAGAAATGAAATCAAATCTGTCTAACGGGCAGAAAAACACATTTGTGAGCAGAACAAAGCAGCAGATTTGTGTTTCAGTGCTGCACCGACGAACAGGCTGAACTCACAGGAAGCTTTATTTTGCTTTCAGAGGAACCGGTGGTGCTCAGCAGCAGCAGCAGCAGCATGTGACGGCTTCATTCACAGCCTCTTCTGTCCGCCATCGACAGCCTGCCGCTCTCAGCTCAACGCCGAGGCAACTTCTGTTTGTTAGAGAGCCAACCCCACTGGGTAGAGCGCACCAGGACACGTTTACCGACTTGAAAACGAAGCTGATCAGAATCCAATGTTGTCTTGTTTCATCAGCTGCTCTGTGAGACGCCGAGCGGCTCCACGGTGGCAGCGTCGCGCTTCTCACTTCACGGGGGTGAAAATTAGAGTGTGAAAGTTATCCAGGCTCACCGGCGGCTCAGAGATTCTTGTTTTTGTTTTTTGTTTTCAACCAGAACTGACCGTCGCTTTGACCATTTAAACTGAGCAACAGGTTGCATCTTCATCACTAATTAATGTTGATTCTGAGAGTAAAACTTTACGCCAGACCCAAAATAAACTGATCTGTTGTTGTCATGGAGGTTACAGGGCGGAGATCAGCCGCAGATTCTCCCTGTTAGTCTGTTATTCATGTTTTATTGGTGTTAGTCTTTAACCTCCAGCGTCTACAGCTGCCATTAAAGTGTCAGATACACGTTTAATTAACAATTACAGTCATGACTCGATAATCAGACACTAAATGTAAAACCTTCTTTTATGTCGGATTGTCAAGACGGAGGTCCAGATACCAGGAGGGCTTGATGCTGGAAGGTTCATTAGTTGTTAATTATTGTTCATAGTTGTTATAATAACTAGTAGGGCTGGTCCCAATAGCACTTTCTGCTCTCTGGATATTCAGGCCCAATTAATGATGAATATCTGAATATTCTGTGCGGTCGGGGGACACTTCCACCCCGGGGCAGCGCTCTGACGGGGTGAAAGTGTCCAGAACACACAGGCAGTACTTGGCTGCTGATGCTAGTTTAGTTAGCGCTCACACTTCTGTTTCCTCCATCGGTGGCGGCGGGGGAGTGGCAGATACGCTCCACCGTTACCATCCATGTTTACTTCCATAAACACTGAGCACGCTCGCTGCGTGTGACGTCGTCGTGTCCTCTTCTGCGCATGCGGGACACTTTTGGGTCGTATGAAGTTCACACAGCAGATCACATACAAGTCGCATTGAACTGGAAACGTGAAGGAAGTCACAAAGAAATCCTCATTGAGCATCAAGTCCTGCAGTGTGAACATCGCCAATCTGTGGGATTGTTCAGTCAGATAATACGCCGTCATCCTGATTGGTCACATAAAATGTCATGTCGGAGTCACAATCCAAGGCTGTCGCTATGTTAAGACTGTTTTTATGGGTTCTGTTTGTTTTTCCTAAAAACTTGTCGGATAGCTTTATTACTTTTCTATTCTCGTCTTTTCTACTAATTTCTAACGTTGTGTGATTTTGTTTTCTGAGTAATATCTGGCAAAAGAATTTCCTTGGAGATTAATCAGGTTCATCTCATCTCAGCTCAACTCATCTCATCTTGCCTCTTCAACACAGCTTCTATTAGATAAAAGAAAAAAACAGCCGTTGTCTATTTACGTCTGTAGATTTCAATCATAACATTTATCTCTGAAGACCATTTTCTCCAAATGAGCTTTTTCCTCAAACTCTGACTCAGAAACATGAGTCACGCAAACAAACACCAAACTTTCCTTTCCTTTATTTTTTTGTTTTAACTCTCTATCCTCTATTTGTTCATGGATCACTCAGACTGATTTATAGAACATTTTATTCCTACAAACTTGTTTTTTTCCCCCTCTGGCTGCCGACAATGACTTTTTTTTTGGTCTGATTTATGAAGTGATTTCTAAACTCCTTTCACTCTAATGTGTCAACAGAATGAAACTTTGATGTTCAGGGTCCTGTTGTGGAAATTCAAAGAATTTTAGAAAAGTAGAAGCTCCTTTCAGCTCTCTCTGGTTCATATATCACTCACAGGCTGATTTATACCACATTTTATTTCTATTTGTTTCGTCCTCTGGCTGCTGCAGACGCTTTATTCTGATTTATGAAGTGGTGAAATGGATCCAAAGTCTCTTCGGTAGAAAAATAAAACTTTGAAGCTGCTTTATCCAGTGTTTGAGTTCCTGTTTTGGGAATTAACGGAAATTAGGACATTTTTAGATATGCAATGGCTAATTTGCATAATCAGAATCCGTTTTATAGTCGTTAAACATTGTATAATGAGATTGCACGTGACTTCTCTCCTTACAAATAACAGACTGGATTTAAATATATATAAAAACAAGGAAGATGTCTACAAGTTGTGTGAATATTATACGTACAGAAATATAACTAGGTAGCTTCAGAGGACTTAAAACCAGCTGGGCGAGTTTCATTCATGTTGTCGTTCTGACCTGTGGTGCCTCCTCTTATCAGGACCAGAGCCAGAACCGTGATCCACCTTTATCCTGCCGCTCTGGGCTCCTTGGCAGCTGCTGTGGAGCTAATAACGCTCCCGCTGCCAACGTGTTCGGCAGCTGCCACGAAGGCTGCGGCTGATAAAATCAAAGACCTGAATGCATCTTTTTCTTTTTGCGCGCTCTGCTTTTCATCCTTTCCCCGTCCTCGTCCGTCTCTCTCTTTTCCTGAGAGCGTCTGCCTCTGTTCTCTGCCTTTGTGCTGCCTGATCAATAATCCAATCTATAGACGGGAGCAGCAGCCTCATCGCCACCTCGGGCACGTCTCCATACAGCCGCAGCCAGACAGGCAGGTAGTGATGCAGACTGAAGCCGTCACCTCGGCGGCCCCCGCAGCCCGCCGAGACATTCACATTCCCACGCTCTGCCAGGCTGGATGCGCTCCGTCTTCACGTTTAATTCACCCTGACGGCCTCTCTGCACCGTGTTTGATTCACCACGACATTGGCAGAGGTACACGGAACACGCAATTATGGCTTCTAGAATAGATTAAAAGTGCTGAAGTTGGAACGGATTAAAGACAGAAACCTGAGAGACCAACACTCGGGACAAACACGTCGAAGCCTCGGCAGCGAGTCCTGATAGAAATACCGGCTACTGATTCTCCTAATGATTGTCTGTAGCTGCACTCCAGATAAATCCTCTTCAGGCCCGCAGTCAGACCCGGCCAGCTCGTCTCATTGATCTGTTTGGTCGAGGTTTTCAGGGCTGAAGACACAATAGTGAAAGGATGCTTCACAGTGTTTCCTTTGTGTGGTCAAGACACCAAAAATGTTCACATAATGGCTGTTTTTTTGGGATTGTGTGAGTTCAGATTGGATGTGATCATGATTTCACGGGTAGCGACCACGCTGAATCATAGTAGAAGGTTTTCCTCTTTCAGTCCTGTCTGTTGTTTAGAACAAGTCATTTAGCTGCTAAAGATGAAGCTGTTTGTAGTTTATTATCTTAAAAAACAAAATGAGGAAAGAGACAAGGCATGAAAAGGAGAAACCGCCTGAGCCAGCAAGTACAAAACAACACAGTACCAGGGCTGCAAAATTAAACCAAAAATAATCACAATGTTGGGCTCCTACAAATAAACAAACAGGATTCACTGAGATTTTAACGTTTTTTAATACTTCTGTCACAGAAAACAGCAAATTAGCTGGTTTCAGGCTGACTTTATTTCACCATTTACCTGAGCGGAGACTAGAGGCTTCTCTGTGCATCTACTGAAACATACGAGGCGTTTAGGGAACATCTGTAAATTCTAGCGTCCAATGGATAAGCAGATGTTCAAGTGAGGAGGTATCAGACAAGCTAAGGAAAAGACTGGTGGAAAATGAATTCATTTTCATGTTAAAATCAGGCTGTCTAACTTGCAAAAATACAAAAAACACATATTTAGAGGATTTATTTTTGCCTGGTGAAGGTGGAGCAGCGTTAGCGCCAATAAATGTACTTCTGCAAGTTAGACAGTGTGCGGGAGTGCGATTGAAACTTTGGCCTCGTGAAGTAAAAGTGAGAGAAAGTTCCTTTAGTTTGGAATATTTAGCAAATATCAAATGTGAACTCACTGCAAAACACATCTATTCATCAGAAAACCAAGTGGGAAAGTTTGTCGGCGTTGCGTCCAAGACCGGCGCTCTGGATTTGTTAAAACTGTTAATAATGTGTTGAAGCTTAAAACTGGTGTGATTCTGTGTTGAGGGCCTCGGCTAATTACATTCTCTGAACTGTTTCAGGGCAGCTGAACCGCTCCGCGACCTCATGAGTGTGGTTTGGGTGAGTTATCTGCACAACACACACACACACACACACACACACACACACACACACACACGACCTACTGTACGCAAAGTTGTAATGAGCAGTTGGTTTATGCATGAACAAATGTTTCACGGGGAGAGATCCAGCCACACACACACACACACAATCACGTAAAAACACACAAAAAAACACACTCAGCAAGAGTGTGAGAGTCACGAAGAGGCTGCTTTGTTAGTGCAGCCAGCAGCTCGGCCTCCTCGGCTTCCTCTCTGAATACTAAACACGTCGCTGCTGTGTTATCCACCGCCAGCAAACCCAGGGCTGCTTTGTGAGTGTGTGTGTGTTGTGTTGTTGTTGCTAGTGTGTGTGTGGTGCAAACAGATCTCCCACAACTGCTCCCTCTGACTGGTTTCATCTATAAAGGTGTGTACAGAAGCCGTGTTTGTGAGCAAAAGTGTTGTTGTGAATGATGGCCGCTGCGCCACAGTGTGTGTGTGTGTGTGTGTGAGTGTGTGTGTGTATGTGTGTGTGTGCGTGTTTTATCCCTCGGGGCTTAATGCGATGTAGCAGCGCGTAACAACAGAGCGGGGACTTGTTGCCGGCGACAACCAGCCCGTTTCCTACACATTTGCAGCGTTTTGCAGCTTTTTCTTCTCGTTCACAGTTTCTGTTGCTTCTTCTGTTTTTTGCCCTTTGCTCACTTTTCTTCTTCTTCTTGTTCAAACTTCTTGCTCTCACAGTTTATCACGCTGGGCAACTGTGCAACTTTTCATTCCCGATCGGAAAAAAAGTGTTTTTTTATTCTGCAGAGTTTCAGACGTTTGTGAACTTTACGTCTAAAGAAGGAGCAGACTGTGGAGGGGTCGCAGTTTGTTTTTATTTTGCTCTTAAGTTATATATAAGACACAAGGGGTGCAAATATCACTACATTTTTAGCTACAGCTGCAGTCAGAGCTTCGGTTTTTAAAAGCTGTTGGTCCGACTTGTTTCTAAAGACTTCCAGAGTCTCAGAGAACTTTGAATAATCACAGAACCAAAAGGAAATGTGGATGAAGAACACAAACTTTAACACTATGTAGCGTCCGTTAGCTTCTCTCCTGCTCTCTGTGCTCACGTAAACTTAATTCTAATACCGCTGAACTCCCACTAAAGACGTCCTTTATACATATTTTACTGTTTCTGTTGGCAGACGGTAGAATTAGTGTGAAACAGTGGCTCATTCAGAACCAACGCTCACCTGAACGCTGCTGTGAAATTTTTTCAGTTTCACTTGCTGTGTACCGTCGTTTTCGCCTTTGTTTCCAGGCGCTGTTCACTTTTAATTTCAGTCACTCTTTTTAGTCATGATTTGCTTTAATTTTCAGCCACTGTTTACCTTCAGTTACTGTTGTGATCTTATGCGGCTGTTTACGTTTGATTTAAGTCACTCAAGCTGCTCGAACGTACAGATTTCACAGCCGCGATGTCGTCCCACAGACTCACCAAACACATGAGTTGAGGACGGAGGATTCTGGGATGTTTCTCACAGAATTAGAAAGAAGAGAAGAAGTTGCTTAATCAGCGTTAGCATGTTGGTAGAACATCCTCCCTGTCAGTGTTGCTCTTTGACTAATGTACTGATTTTCACTTTTTTAGGAGTTTTTGTAGAAACTTGGATTAATTTCGGAGTTACTGACTTAAATGCTTAAATCGTGACTTTTTGATTTATTTTTTATCAAGTTGGAGTTTCCAGTTTGACAGTTTTGCACACGTTTTACGTTGACGTACAGTTTTTCTAAACAAACATAAATGAAAACGGTTGTTTTGCTGTTTTGTAGCTGAACTGTAGAATCATACAGCAACACCACTGATATGTGCGGTATCGTAATTTACACATCCAGAGGGATTTGCACAATCAGAACCAGCACTTATGTATATTTCTGGTTTATTTCCCCAACGTGGGGTAATAAAGGCGCATCGTATCATTATTGTCAGAGTGTTTGTGTCCGTGCAGCAGCTACACTTCATGATATAAGAGCAACAACTGCACATCTGGGGGCCTGCAGCTGTACGAGGACACATCTGCATGGGGGGAATAATGAAGGCATAAATCAGCCTCTTTTGATCCAGTTTTTTGGCATAAACAGTCCTTGCTAGTATCCTTGTTAGTTTGGCTGCCTGCATAATAAACCTGAGTCACTACGTTTCCGTGCCTTTGGCTGCGAGGAACTGAAAAATGGACGTCCTGAAATTATCAGTGTTTAAGCAGCAGTGAGGAAAAGTCATCAGTCGTGTCGATGTGTTTCTAATCACGGTTTAACCTTTTATTTATGTGTCATCAGAATGATAGAAGCCTTCACTCATCTCGTTTTTTGTGTGTCTTTTAACTCTCATGCCTGATTTGGCCGGTGTCTCTTCCTGATTTAACCGGACCGCTGCCCTTTTTAATCATAGAAGCGCTTAACCTCCTGCTCCTACAGAAATGTCAGTCATTGTCCTCCATCTCTGACATTTGATGGCGACAGCGGCTGGTCCCAGTTCAGCCGATAAACTGGTTTATGTTTCTGTAATGAAGTGGGCAGCGGTCCGGTGCTGTGAACGCTCCCTTCTTCTTCTTCTTCTTCTTCTCTCCGCGTTGTTGCACAAAGTGATGATTTTCATGCCTCCTCCTCTTCATTAACACTTTATTGCTGTCCTTTTATTGCACCAGATCACCTCTGAGCAGCCGTTGGTTGTGTGATTTGTGGTGTTGTGTGTTTTTAGATTAAATCCCTGTCGCTGCCGTTTCATCAGCCTCATAAATGTAGAATAGATGTAAACTCAGAATATTAAAACCGTCTCCTCCTGTCAGTCTGTCTCTGCCGAGCTCTTTATGCTGCATGTCACAGATTATATTTTGTTTTAATATTAAACTGCAGCTCTCAGGTTTTCTCCTCTTCTAATATGTGCTGTAGTGACTGGCGGCCCGTGACTGTCGCATTTCATGCTGGAAGAATTCAAACTTGTGTAATTTATTTTATCTTTTTGCAGTTTTGAGGGAGCTTAAAGTAGGAAAAACAAAGCGTGGATCTTCTTCTGAACTCCCCTCAGGTGCTCTGAAACGTTTAGGCGGTTCATCTCACAGAATTCAATCTGATCCGTTTTTCATTTGCTTGTTCAGACTCCAGGTTCTCTGGTGTGGAGTTTAATTAATGTGGAGGCAGAAATGGAGCCTCATCAGGAGTTATTTCTGATCCATGTTTAAGCGTTTGGGCGCTGCTAACTGATGGTGTGAGTGGTGTTCAGTTGTTTTGTCGTTGTCTATTTAATGTGGTGAACTACTGCAGGTTCTCCTCAGCTGGAGAGATTAGTTACAGGTTCCTGCTTCATGGTTAAGTATAGAATAGTGATGTAGGTTAATATAGGTTAACCTGCCAGCGTGTAGTTTTTATTACTTATAAAACACAAAAAGTTACTTAAGAAGCTGATTTATTTCTGAATTGGGCGTCATTATTGAAGGATTGAAAGATTTAT